ATTGCTCTTTTGTTGATTTTTATCGCTTCTGTTGTCTTCATTCGTAAGTCACTTTGGATAAAAGCATCTGCTAAATGACTAAATGTAAATAAATTACTGTGATGGACAAGAAATTATAATTTAACATACTTGTTATTACACATACTGATATATTTAATACATATTATTAATTAAATTAGTACTACTAATAATTATATTATTAACAATAATATTTATTGTAAATATTACAATACTTCATTAATATAAATATTTATTATAGATTTCTGACTAGCTGCTTGACTTTAGTTAAGTTGCATTAACTATGGGGGGCTAAAGGGTTAACTAGAATGATCAAGTGTCAGAATAATAATGATTGGACATAAATGTCTATATAAAAATACAACCAATTTGTATGACAACATAAATTTGAGGTCATAATGAAATGGAGTCAGATTAAAATAGAAATGAAATGAAATTAGTTTGTGCAGGAACACGCAGGAAACCTTCAGCCACCACTGGATACCTTCGTCTGGCCAGTTGGGTGGATCTTACAGAAATGTGAACAGATATTTCCTGCTGACACACTACAGCGAAAGATAGAAATAACTGACTTAAAACAATTTTTTTTGTTAGAGAAAATACTAATAGCTGAAGACTTCTGCACAGTAGTGTGTGTGTGTGTGTGTGAGTGAGTGAGTGGGTAAGTGTGTGTGTGTGTGTGTGAGTAACACTGAGCTCAGTGATTTTCCACCTGTGAGCATCTGGAGCCTCAAGTGCTGCAGCTTCTGCAGGATATTTTTAGTTGTTTGTTCCACGAATAGCTTCACGTCAATCCAGAGATCAACGCTTCTCTTCCTGCAGACGGACGAGTTTCCTCCGTGTTCTTCATCTCATCCGTCTGTTCACTCGTGTTTCATAGACTCTTCTGAACGAGTTCGGAGTTCATCTGCGTGCAGGGACTCTTCTCCGAGTGACGGGTTAGTTTAGCCAAATGAGTTAAGATAGAGAATATCACACTGACAGGTTCAAAGTCAGTCATTGTCGGGGGTTGAGGTGAGTTTCTGCATGAGGCTTGAGAGAGACAGAATAAATGCGACCGTTTCCTCTTACAGACGCACACAGGAAGACGTGCTGCTTTATTTAGCCTGTGAAGAACTCACACACACACACACACACACACACAGCTGTCCATCTCCTTCATGAAACATGCACAGCTCTGTGTTTGGTTACACATCACCAGATGGACGTGTGTCTGTGTCTGTGTGTGTGTGTGTGTGTGTGTGTGTGTTATTTCCTGCTGGTTTTGTCTAGAATGGTTTTATTTGTTGTATTGCATAACGAAGCGCCGCTGCTGCTGCAAAAGCGTCTGGGATCCGACTCTGAATCACTCTGATCTGTGTGTCTTTGAGTCGATTGATCACGAATGATCCAGTTTTCAATACAAGCTGTTGATGATGTTTGTGTTGGCTGGCAGGAGACACAAATCACATGTAAATGAAAGTGTCTTGTGAGAGCAGGACCGGTCTGTCCACCCTTGAGTGCGCACTAGTGAGGGTGTGTGTCTCGCGTCCCTTCAGGCTGTATCTTGTTCCCGTTCTGCTGCTGCGTGTCTGTATTGTGCTAAATTTACGGTTGATGATGTGAACAGGTAAAAAAAGCTCATCTATGTGTGATGTGACGTCAGTCAGGTGTGTGTGTGTGTGTGAGTGAGTGAGAGAGTGTGTGTGTGTGTGTGTGTGTGAGAGAG